TTAAATGAGAATTTGTAGCTGGTCGATCGCATTCAGTTAAACGCCAGTTCTGCTCCACGGATGTGAATGTGGTAGCTAACGTTGAAGCTGATCTCTAGAGATAGCCGACCTTTAACCATAGGATTTTGGTGTGAAGTGTATCCGACCAAGTACTGCTTTTACAATATGAAGAAATAAGCCAGTTACATCATTTCAGAAAAGAAGATAATTCTCGAACTCCGATCACGACAGTGACTGGAAAAGATATTTTTCAATTGTACACCTGCAATTCCTGTTCGTAAATTGACAAAGGTTATGATTTTGCACGAGAATGTTGCATGAGTTGCATTTCCGAAAACAACGTGTATTTGGTTCAACTCCGTTCAGTGTGATCAAATAAAACAAATTAAAACCTTGTGTACATCCACTGCCTCATCCGCTCATATATCTTCCAGTGTGAATTTATTTCTGAGGAAAAGTTTCACGAAACAATAGTCGCAAAATTTGCATTTGAACTCATGGCTTAACAACACGAACTTGCTACCATTCTCACGGTCAAGCTTTAGTATCAAGTTGTGTGGAAAGCTAAGATGGAAACAACAAATATGCCTCGAAACCTTTAGTTTCTGACTGGTCCATCAGAAGACGCTCTGAGCTCCACGCTCGCGGTCATTACCCAGTGTGATTGGTTAATCAATGTGGACGGGGATTCTTAGGGAATATTTGAAGTCCTTACCCGAAGCTTCGCGGCCCGAGTCCTGACGGGTCCCAAAACAGGACGAAATAGCTGTCCAGTGCTCTTTGTTGGTAATCACAAAGATTTCCATTGCATCTAAATGCATTTACTTCGTGGGGAATTATTTGTATTTTATAACTTTGCAAGCAGAGATATGCTTTTATTTCGATAAAAAAGCTACACTGGTCGTCACACTGGAGAAAATATAAAAGTATAAACAAATTCAGTAGAGTGCAGTAAAAAAAATAAATGCCTCTAAAGTTAGATTCATTCAATTAAAGATTGACATAATTCACTTATAACTCGTTTCTTGTTGACTAGATGCGTGCCAGATACGGTACAGTGGAACTTTTATAAATGCTGTTTCGGGAGGGTAAGTACCGATTACAGGAACGGGTGATCAAGTGGGAGCGACAAGATGATAAATCAAAATACAAAGGATGGGTGGGGTCGTTTAGAATCTTATTGGCAAAATCCCTGAAAGACTTTACATGAACACTAATAAGTACTGTGATTAGTGAACCGGCAGAAATTAAAGATGCACGGCTTATTATCACTAATCCACGACGGGCAGTTTTAAAGTATTCTTTCAATACACCGGAAAACACTACAGGGGAGCAATAAAGGAAAATAGGGAGAAGATATTTTTTAACAAAGAAGAACAAAACTTGTTGGGGAGTGCGAAATTTCTGAGCTTTCGGAACAGAAAGGTGAGATGCCGATGTCTTCCCGTACAGGTCTGAATGTGTGTCGACCACGGAAGATTGATATCGATAGTAACACCCAGATATTGAACTGAGCTCACTCTAGACAAAAGTTTACTGGTAAGGGTTACAGAGTCTGACGGGAATGTAGCGTGGGAAGAACTAAAAATGCACTCCAAGCAATTAGATGTGTTAAAATTAAGGCCGGACTGGTTTGAAAACTGTTCGATTTTGGACAGATTTTCAGTGAGGGAGGAAAATCCCGAAGAAGAAGAAGAAACGGTCTGACATAAAAAGACATCGCTAGCATACTTTTGGATATGAACAGGGCATGGAACTGAAAGATCACTCATGAAAGCCGGGAAAATATACGGAAAGAGGACAACAACTTGAAGCACACCAGACTAGGGGACATGAGATATTCCTGCTCAGCTTTGTGCACTGAATTCTTTCAGTGAAATAATCAGAAAGCCACGAAAGCAGCTATCTCGGGGTTCCAAAAGATTCAAGCTTAAAAAGGAGGGATGACCGGGACATGGAATCAAAAGCAGACGAGTAAGGGAGAAAAGTGGATCCAAAAAGAATCATGGGGAGTGGTGACAAGTGACTGTGGGCGACTCATGATGGCTTTCTTAGTCAACTTTAGAACTACAGACGTCAATGCGATGAGAAGAAAGCATTTTGCAAGAGCGGTTGAGGATGAGGTCTTTGGAACAGAAATTATGATCACTGGTCGCCAAGAATCGAGGATCGTCTGTGCAGCAAAAGAACTTATGATAAGGGATATCATCATGCTAGTGAGAAACATGAAGTTTCATCATTTGAAACATAGAACAGATCGGAATTAGAAAACTCACATGGGAAAGAGGGTATCTGGTTATCGTTAGACGGATGAAGAAATGCCGCGTTAAGGTTATTTACATCAACATCACTCGTCATGTTTTTTGTCCACAGAAAAGACGGATTCCTTGCCATAGAAGCCTTTTACTTTTCGTTTGCAGGAATTGGGAAGCGAATGTCTTGTTTACACGTGTTATCTCAGCCGGAATTAAGTTTAAATATTTCTTTACAGCAGATGGATGGTGGGATTTATAGGATCTTTCCTTTTGCCTTCGTAGTGAGTTCAAGCGAGGAGATGCAATTTTGCCGTTGCAAACAAACAGCATTTCCATGGGATCACAAAAATGGATGGTCGATTTCATCGTTTCGGTGAAAAGACTGACATAGTTAAAAAGTGATGAACAAGAAGTAAATCGAAATTGGGGAACCGTTATGGAGCGACAGAGAAGAGAAATGCGGGTTAATGAAAAGTTACGGAGATGAAAACTTATCTGGTTTGATCGTATGAATGTTGGACATACACAGCGAGAGTATATCCTTGGTATTATGAGAACATAATGATCACTGGTAGCGATTGGGGTCATTAGTTTGAAAGAAAACACAGTGGGATGGTTTGTGATTACCCTGTCAAGTATAGAGCTACCTCTAATAGGAGAATGAGACAAATCGGACAAGCCAAAAGAAAGCAGAGGGAAAACGCTTGCACGGTTGAAGTCACAAACAGCCAAAGAAGATTCTCATCTAATTTTGGAACCAAAAAATGGTATGTGATGCTCAAAGAAAGAAGATATATCTGCTTGGGAGCACGAAGGAGGTATATACACAGAAGTAATAATTGTACTTTTATATCGGACAAATTTGGGATAACAACGAATGGATAAACAGTCAATGGATTTTTCAGAACAGCTGAATACCACTTCAGAATTGCTACACCAATAAATGTTGATGTACACTGCCATGCCACCTTCAGTTTTCTACCTCCTATGTTGTCTATCCTGTCGGTAACAATCGAAGCCAACTATCTGCACGAGAGCATTCTCAACGTTTTGATTTATTCAGGTTTATTGTATTCTTACGACACGTGTTGGAATGTATGCGTGTGTTTAGTGAGAAAGATAAATTCGAGATCGTTGCGAAGAGAGAGCGAACGTTGGTAATGACCAATGTCGGCACCGTCATCTTGGCAGAAGGGGTGCTATTAAGCGCACTCTGCCATCCAGCACACTTGCGCTTCTTGATCCAAGCGTGACTGCCATATTCTCTTAGCACATTATTTGTGTGAGGCACAGAATTAAGAGATTTCAATCTAAGCATATTCTGACGAGAGTGTGTATGGGTCCGGAACATGTTTGACATTAAGATAAACATAAAATCCGGTGAGACGACTAGCACACAAAACGTAGTGCAGACAAGGAACGAAACCCACATCCAAGATCATCAACAGTCCCTGGTGCGGGTGAAAGAGCCGACTGGGCTGATCAAAACATTCCCCGTCTAAATAATTAAACAGGACTTTACAGTAACCCTTGAAAAACCTTTTAAATATTTTTCAAACCGTTTTCCAAAACTGGCTACTTAATCGCTTGTCAATAGTCATTTCAGGTCAACCAACGTGCGCGTTGCCTGGATGAACATTATCCCTCTTAATTCGGCACACTTTCTGCTGTTAAATTTGCAGTGAACGATATATTATAATGTACTTCCTACAAGATACTCGAGAAACGCTCGCGTATCCAGTTGATTTCCCAGAACCCTAGCAGGAGTTTTCGTAATTGATCACCAAAACAGTGCGCGAGTCCAAACACACTAGAACTTTTGCGTAAATCGACCGCACTTCCCGAGAACAATATAACATGTCACGCTACCATTTTTTACTATGCTGAACCACTTTGTCAACCAACGAATACAACACTGACAGCACACCTGGTCTCCGTATTATGCGGGTAATTGGATTGAAAGTACCCCCTACGCTAATTATGTAATCATGGGAAAATTAAAATCCTTCTATAAAGATAATCCAACTCACCCATAGGATCGTTTTATCAAAACTTTCGATGTGACGCGAACAATGAACACCAACTTGCTGCGACAATTCCTCGCGATGAAAAATGATCGTTAGTAGTACTACTTAACAACAAGATCTCATGTCAACTTTTATGTTTAAGGGACAAGGAGGAGGATTCCCCAAACAGACCAATTATTCTATTCCCGGGCCCAGTGCTTCTGTGCCCGTTACTGTGGTTAAATGCAAACTTCTTTCTTATTCAATGGTTTCTCCCTTCTTGCTTTGTTACAGTTAGTACAACGACAACCCATATCTGCCTCATATTACAACGATATTTGTGCCTGTGGATTAATTATTCGCATCTTTCTCTTTTTCTGTAGGATCTGGTCCGGCGAATGCTAGATCCGGAACCCACGAAACGATATACCGCATCGCAGGTTGTCCGTCATCCTTGGGTTGTCAAGGTCAATGAGTTACCATCTGAACCAGTTGCGAAATATGCAGCTCGTGATCCATCCAAAATGAAGGTTTGTGACCTCCACCCCAACTCATCCTGTCCATATGCTTCACATATATTTTCAGTGGGAACAGTCCCACTCTCTCTGAGTCTGCCTAAAAGTACCTTGCAGAGTTGGTCATGATACTACTCCTCGTGAGTCTAGTTCGGGTCACAAAGTCTTGATCGCTCTAGATTTAGCAGTGATGCACGACCTCTTACTTCTTACTTTATTGTAAAAAACAAATTTTTCAGGATCACCATGAATGCGTTTCCTGTGCCTTCTTCACATCCGTTGTGAATCAGGGCTGACTGTACATTTGCACAGAGGTTGGATATTGCCATTGCTGTTATCCTACTGGCAGTCATCTGATTTTATTTCTTGTCCAACGGACAGTACAAGATTACGTGAATTAGCAGATTATGGTGAATTAGGACTGATGAGAATGTGTCTATAATCAGCTGAAAATCCGCGGTTTGTTCTTAACGTACATTGCCGGATCGCCTAATAAATGGCGTTTGTTACATACTGTTTTAGAATACCGAAACGCCTAAATGTCTTTGAACAGAACGATAAACAAGATTAATTTCTTCTTGGTTATCCGAACCTTGGTGGGACAATTGTTTTGTTGGGTGTATAGCCTAATAAGTGATCTGAGTTGTTCATTATTGCGCAATGCACCTCTTATGTAACCTGTATCCGTTTTAAATGTCGACGAATCGCAGATGTTGGTTCCTATTTCTTCATAGTGACTCACGATGATTATTTTTAAGTATTTCACTTCACGATGGGAATATTGAACTGACGACAGATGAAAAATGCTAATCAGCCAAAAAGATGACGATTACCACTTATTTTGTTCATATTATGATAGACCGCAAAAGCTTTTGTCCCATCAAGAAATTTTTAAATTTAGTACTATGGCCAGAAATGTGAAGCGGTTTTTCTAGTCAAAATCATGCAATCCTCGTCTCGGGTCTGTTTCAAGTTGGTCTTCTGAAGTTATTTTTCATCGCTCTCCTGCTCAAACCAAATGGCTTCCATAGCTTTTCATATCTGAACTGTATCCAAGCCAAGTAGATCATCTAAAAATCAGAGGTGTAAACGGAATCACTTTATTGTTTAAATAAAGAAGCTGGGTGTCTATAGTTCCGACCACCCAAATCATCGACGAAACTCTATTGATCAGCCTGGAAAGGAACATCCCCATTTTATCTCCGACCTACATCAATGTGGTTTTCAAGGTTCACATTCCTGACCAAGCATTTCTGTTTTCCACAACCAGAGCATTATTTATTTCACCTGCCATGTTTAGAAAAAGACAATAGGTTGTTGATGTGATTGTATTTTAATTGTTCCCTTACAACCCCGCTCCCTCGAACACACACGCATCCAGATTGTTTTCATTCGTGGTGTGTGTATATGTTGAGTAGTTGCTACCTGATTGTGTCAATCTTCAATGCTGCTTGTTGAAAAAAGTTTGTTTCAGTTCCATTCCATCCCATATTTTATCCGGCCGTTTCCGTCAGCAATATGAAACATTTCTATGCTCTGGATCAAAATTTCACATTAATCACTATAAGAATAATGCATAGGAAGAGAATTTCTATATGAATCACGGTGTCACATCAGTGATTGTTTTTAATAGATTCGCTAAAGTATTTTTCAATGGAAAATTTGATTTGGAGTTGTATTTTTTGAAAATTCCCATAATACTGTTGTGTGATCAATATTTTATGGGTGAACCGAACCAACCTGAACTTAAGCATTTGTGCATCTATCTAGCTATCTAAGTCAATCCTTCACTGAATCGCTAACTGCACTACTTCAATTTCTTTCATAGTGTTTCTCTAAGAAGCTTTTACATCTGCCGGTTAACAAAGAAACACTGGGACCCCTGAGATAAATTTCATGATAGAGAGAGTGAGACAAACAGCACTAGATTGCAGCAGTTATGTCAATGCCGACCTTTGGCTGTACGTGCATTGGCACAGTACCACAGAAATCAATAGTTTTTTTCGTCTGACCCACTATTAGTCACACACAAAAGTGGCAGAACTTTTGCAACACTGTTAAGGTAGTGAGAAGGTCGTGTAAAAAACAACTGTCCAACACAATATTACACCACAATTAACAAACGGCTGTGAGCTAGAACTGACTCACCAGTCATGCGAAGTAGTCAACCAGATGTTCCCGTTCTGCCATTTCCCTGGTCACAGATGTACTGATGTATTGATAACGACAACCGAATACTGAGGCATCCGAAACAAAGTATAGTGTCCCCAACAGAGTTTTTCCAGCGCAGATGATGAAATAGACACAGTGGCAACAGGATCTATCAGGAATCACCGGACGTCACACTTTTGTATTTGTTTGTTGCGTCTGTACATTGATTGCGATAAACAGAGGTGTGCTCTACGAGCGGTGGTTGATGTTATAGAAAAGAAAGGTAAATCTTAAAATATCACAGAACTCCGCTGCCAAAAAAATGGAGATTCTCAAGCTAAAAGAGTGAAGACGGAACAGAAAGTCAACAGGAACGAGTGGATAAACAACAGTTCTGTCTAAAAATATAACTGAATGTGGTGGGTTTTGTTGTGCAGGACCCGTGTTCCAAGTCACGCGCCGTTGAATTAAAACACAAATAGGAAGTTATACAATTGATTTAGGGTGGGTGTTGTTGTTCACGCCTGGTGGTGATGCTGACGCTAGTGATGCAAACGTTTATGGGCAATTAACCGAATATGTAATCTTTGAGTAATCAAAGATCACATTTTGCGTTTTGCTTCTTCGACCAATGATAAATCGGTTGTTGTGATATAAAACAATTCTGAAGGGGCCAGAATGCAACTGTTGTAATGGCCACTTAAGAGCAGCAACAGGAGAAAACATGGTGTCTTCTCCGTACTTGTGGACGTATGGGGATCCCTATAACGTAAGAGGAAAAGGTGAAACAATCAGCATACTGCATGAGCAGGGTGAAACCAACTAAAGAGAGTAATTAACTGACTATGTCGAGATGAACATGGGCAACTCAATCTGATCTGTGATTCAGATAGAACAGAGCTGTGTGCTTGTGGCGGTTATTTTAGTTTCACTGACAAGGACCAAACGCGAAGGTTGTGGGTTATGGAAGGCCACACAAAACGATCGGCGGCTAGTTAAACAAAAACTATTGTATGGACACAAAGATGAAAAATTGAGCAAAGTGAGGAACACCGTCCCGAAGAAAGCAAGAAGGCTCAATAGAATGGAACGTGGCGGAGAGGAGATCCTGAAATTTGAGGGACGATGAATTGCGGTAGTGAACTACATTTGGGTCTCCCCTTTGAGCCTTGACAATTTCACCCTAAGTGAATGTGAGTTAACGGTTCGGTTGAATTAAGGGCGTATTCGAATATCAAGGGCCAGGTTGTAAGATTCCTTTGTGTACCGGATGTTTATAATGAACTGAGAGATAAAGTTGAGTTGATAAAACTCTCTTGACGCTAAAGAGCCACACTGCACTACCAGCATGTAGGTTAGAGATCAACCTTGCCAATTGAACTTCTGCCATCTTGATTTTTTATCGTCGGGTAAGCGATCGACAGCTTTCAGCCAAACATGCCAAGTTATATGTGGGCCTCTTCGAGAAAATAGACGACAATCACACCGACCCCTGTGCAATTTATTGCAACCCCACACAGTTTGCCTATTGCGATGCATTTTGCAAAACAAAAGGCATCTTTATTGAAATATCACCTGGTCACTATTCTGAGCAAGACTTCCTTAATATTAAGAAAACTAGTTTGTGCGCAAACAATTGTTTTCGGATATTCTTAGTCCTGCTCCTAACTGTTGTGTAATGGAAAAGTACTTACGCAATAATAGCCTTGGCTAAATTTAGGGTCAGCAGTCGGAGGCAGAAAGTAGAGGATATATGTGTATAAGAACATTTAGTGTGTTAGTTGATGCAACGTTTCCTCGCTTCGGTCATGTGATACGTCATGTCCTATTTAGGTTTTCACACAAGACCAAGACAATTGAAACGTTTGAATCAGTCTGTTTTGGGCTCACAGGTTGGGGCCTAGTAAGCGAATGACGACAGCCTCAGCCACACCTAGAGTCCAAACTCGAGCCGACCTTGATTGATTGAGTGAGATGTGACGAAACAACATCGGAAGCTCTTTCTGGGGTTCCATCTTGTGGCCGGTGCCGACGAGATGACCCACGACCGCGTTTAAGATACAGCCTGTTTTCTCTGTCTGCCACATTATGGTTGTTGCTCCTTAACGCATTGAGATAAAACGTCTTCCCATACCATCTATGTGGTATGCACCGTAGACGCACTTAAGTGAATAAATTATGATGGATGAGATTAGTTTCGGTTGTTGGTATCCGCATCGCCAGTGATGCAAAGAACACTGGTTTAATGTTGGCTCTAGGAAAAATGGTATTTCATTGCGCTCTCAGTGACTGTACTACAGTCTCTGTGTGTGGGTCCCTACGGATAGTTCTTTCTTGGTGAGATAAATGGGGGTTTTCTTCTCCTAAATGACCGACATTCGTTTATTAGGCTCCAACCTGTGAGCCCACAAAGACTGGTTCATGCGCTTCAATTGCCTTGGCCAAAACAGAACACCTATCTCAATTGGAGAAAGGTCGCACCAGCTAGAACACTAAACGTTCTTCACACATACACACACACATCTAATCTCTGCCTCCGTTTACTGACCTTAAATTGAGCCAGTGGCAATTATTATGTAAACATTTTCCCACTGTACGATATGGCTATGAATATCCGATAACAATTGTTCCCTCACCGACTCGTTTTCTCAATGCTATCGTGAGAACATTCAGACCTCTTTACTTATCGACGATCTTTGTTGAGCATGTGTCAGTTGGGCAGACAGTTCAATGAAATATTGATTAAAAAGTGCAGTGGTAGTTTGCAATGCCCCCAAAACCTCCGGAAACTTTTGAATAACTGTGAAATAGGGTATCCCATACGTAACTGACCTTCCCAACGAGAGGCTGGATTCTGTCGGTGTCGATGCGCTACCCCCAAAATGTGATGTACTGAACATTGAGGATGGATTTGTTAAAATTGAGGTATTTGCTGTATTAAGAGAATCGAGGAAACAATGGTCACAACTGATCAAAATGTTCCTTCTTGGTCACCAGGAGCGATTAGGGTATCATCAATCCATACGAATGAAAAATTCAATTATTATATAACCTTAACCCTGAATGTATGGAAAGTTTGGGCGGCATTCCGCAGGCCAAAAAGCATACAGAGAAACTTACACAGATTAAAAGCCATTGTGGTGGTGGTTGTAGGTACACTCTCGGGGGTTATCGGTGTATAATGGTAGGCCCTCACAAGTTTCAGTTTGAAAAGCACTCTTTGACCGCGCAGAGTGTTAGAGAAATTATGATTCCGTAGGATGGGTTAAGCCTCCAGTATTGTGGTATTGCGATAATTGCCACAAAATCTTCTATCACCATCGGTTTTCGGTAATATCAGCAAACGTCCGAACTTCCTTGTGGTAAACGTGAGCGTGAACCTTGGTCTGAGATTTGGCGTAGAGAAAACGATCCGTTTAATTGTATGTGGTTGATAACTGGGGTCATCCGCAGCGCGTAGACGGCGAACAGCTGCAAAATTCTGAGTTGACTGTGGATTGGATGCAAATTCGAAGCCTTCAGTGGCATATTGCGTGAAAGATTAGAGTCCGGGACTTTGTCCACGGGATCAGCAAGTTCCGTATGGGGATGCAGATGCACTGAAGTATCAAGCCGATCATGCTTTTCATTGATACCATCGTTGAGGGTAAAAACCCGGTCCTAGGTGATGTGGACAGGCATTCATTTACTAACTGAACATACGCAGCCTCGATTAGCCCAGCAGGCGCCAATTCGGTGGTACTGTAGTTTACCGCCCCTTTACCCCCTTTGTTCTTCAAATTAGCAGGGTTGGAAGCGCAAGCCGTATCGCGGTATATCACCTGAATGCGTGTTCTTGTTTGGATTATTGTAAAGTTGGAAAATGTCAACAGTAAAATAAAGGAAATTCAGTTATGCATGGAATTGAAGTGCGTGAAAGAGAGAGAGGTCATAGTTAATCGACAACAGTGATAAATTGACCTATGAATCTGCATTAAGTCATCAAAGATGAGAGTTTGGGGGATGTTTTGACTTATTTATCGGCCGACATTTTCATGTCCACCGGTGAGTGGGCAGTGGGAGAACAGAGATAGCATGAGGGAATGCACAGCCATTTGAAAGCGTAAAATAGTATGTCTATTATTGAACTGTGGTCACGGAGAAAACAAATATGGTTTCAATCATTCATAAATCAGTAGTACAGAATTTATTTCCGGGGTTCAATTTTTAACTATTATTGTTCAAGGTGCATACTCGCTGGTTGTTCTCTGAAAAATATGAACAAAGCTGAATTAATTTAGAGTATCAAGCTTGAATTAGCCCATTCGATTTTTCATAGACACCAGGCACTCTTGATAGTCTTTGGCGTGAGTTTCACTCTTTGGGAGATCGGTAATTCCCATGCAGTAACCCACCAGTACGTCACATTTTTTATAACTGACATAACAACATAAGGTGGCGTTAAAGCATTAACTTTTACTAAATACTTTGGAGTCCATTTTGAACGTCATCAGACTATGGAATCATCTGCTACACGTTTCTAATGGCTGTAGATTAGTCCAGAAGATTGTAATATAGCACGCATAATGCATATCCAAACTTCTGAGACCGGAAGGCTGGTATCATTGATAGTCTTGTCTTCGATACCACGAGTTAATGAAATGAAAATACGGCTAGTCAAATAACTCGTCAACTTTGTAGATCAACGAAAATTCAGAAAGCAACCTTTGCCTGGAGCAGCGGGCACGCAGTAAGACAAACAGTGCGAGATGTTTGACTAAACAGAAACGTGACAAATTGAAAATTTGCAAACTGAAGTAACTCATATTTATCAAAAAAGAGAGGGCAATACTTAATTGTCCAACTATCATTCGGATGCAACCTATCTTTCTCCTACTGTTCATCCAAATGGCAGCCAAAAGAAAACAACCAAAACCGGCGCACGTTAGTGCATGGTTACTGGTTGTACAAACTGAAACTGAAGCATGTATGTATGTATGTCTTGGTATATGTATGTGTTTGCTGGTGCTCCGCATATGTATGGTTGCCTGGATATACATTGAGGCTCGCACTAGAAGAATGTTCAGTTCAAATAAATAACGGATGACCCACGTAACCACCTACAACTGTTTGTCAAATGTAAATATGATGTTTTATTTTCTGATGTAAGCAAAAGCAATTTGGACGAATAAAACTCCAGAACAGATATTTTGTTAAACATCCACTTCGTGATGATTTAGCTTCATGAAATCAATTAAATCAATAAAGGACCCGGTTTCATTCAAGATCAAACTATTCCCAACCCCTAGTAGTCGACTGGGGCATATGATTCACTTCAAAGCACAAAAGTGTGTGATCGTTTTTGGGTTGGCGGTAAAAAAAGTAATTTGTTCAGCAAGCTCCAAGCAGATAGACAGAGAAACAAACAGACAAACAGATAAACAGACAGATGAAATAGCAATCTAATCCAATGAAAAGACACAAAGATATTCAATGAACTCTGCGTATGAAAAACCATTTTGATCATTGTTTTAGGCCAGTGCCGTCTTCGGTAATTCGGAATTGGAGTAGCACTGTTGACAC